AGATTTTGGCCTATACAGTTAGTCCCTCCGCTTAATAAGGCCGAGCTCGGACGGCCTTGATAAGCGGACTATGTTTGTCGTAGTTGACGAAATTGGGCAAGCAAGTCGGGTAGCGGCGCTTTTAGGTGAGGTGGCAACATGACTTTTTGTGAGTTGCAAACTTTGGGGATGCACTTTTTCGGAATGATGTCATGACGTCATGCGTCGTTTTCCCGACGCTTTGTGTTGTTTCTTGCGCCTCTGCAGTTTTGATACCCGTGCTGGGTACTGATGGCCAGATTGCTCAGTCTTGGTGCTTGAACTCTGATAAATAGGGATCTGAGGTCATCGTTGTTTGTCTTGCATTCTCCTAATATCTAATACCTTGTGTTTCTTTCCTTCATTGTCCATATTGAACCCTAGTCTCCTTTTTGCTTCGTCATTGCATTTCCACCCTCCTGATTCCAGCGATCTTCGTTGCTTCCAACTCCCGTGCTTAAAACATCCTCCTTCAAGAATATGGTTAACGCACACTCTAGCTCCGGTACGGCGTCTAACCCTACCCCCTTGGCGGTACGTATACCTCCTCACGGCGACGGTGTTTCTATTGCCCTTGAGGATGATAGATTTACTATGGTGGAGGAAATAATTCCTCGTATTGAAAAGACCATATCTAACTTTCTAAGTTACCTGAAGACGACCCCGAGGCCTCGGAATAGGTGATGAACGAGGTCGACCTTGCTAAATTTAGAGCAAAGTTAAAATTCCGACTCACAGTGATTGGGTTCCGGCGAGACGCGACGTGGTACAAATACACCACCCAGGATATTGCACGTTCTACACATATCCATTCTATGTAGGCTATTCCTTTCCTCTTCTCCTATTGGCGGGGAAATTTTGCCGCTACTACAATGGCTGCCCAGCCCAACTCTCCCCTTACATCTACAAGCTATCCGCATGTTGATGAAATATGCGGAGTTGGCTGGCTGTGGGGTCTCTCTTCGCCACCTGATGCGCCTTTTCGCCCCTAGTTTCTATAGGGGGACGATGCTGCATCTTCATCACCGAGGAAGTAAAAGTTTAGCAGTGAAGATGGACGACAAAGCAAATCGTCAGTTCTGGCTCAGCTACTTCTTCGTCAAGACCGAGGACGTGGTGGCCAACATGAGCGGATTCCCTAAGGCTTGGAATTATGCCCGTAAGTATCTCTTGCCAAGTGTTTGTTTTTCCCGTTTTAGTTGTAGTCTAACATTCCCTCTTATCCTTGCGTAGCCGAGACTTCGCCCCCTCCTTTGATTGCGGACATTCATGACTGGGTCAGCCAGGTCTTGCCCCTCACAGTGCGGATTCGTGAATGGCCAGCTTTTATCAAGAAATTCGGGACTGCACCTTCAGTGACCGGTGAGTTCATCTATCTGTATTCATCTATACGTCTGTTACCTTTTGTAAATGCCATTTTGACTTCATGGTCGCCTGCTCGTTATGATTTTGTGCAGGAAGTGAAAGTCTTCTAACTTTTCTTTTGCAGCCCGAGGATCTTCGATAAGTTCGAAGGCTCCTTCTCCAGCGTCCTGCAAAAGGAAGGCAGCTTCTGTTCCTTCTGCTGCTGTGAGGTGTTCTAGGTCATCGACTACGCCTGTCGTGGGACTCTCAACTCCTCCGCATAATCTAATAGACGAGGACAATGAAGAGGAATCGTCGCCGAATGGTGATAATTTGCTTTCCCATAAGAGGCGATTTGTAGATGTCGGAGAAAGAGTTGTCCGTGTCGGGAGCTCGATGATGGAGGATTTCGTAATCCGAGAAGTGGCGACCATGGATCTTGGAGATGACGCTGCCACGGCCCAATTTCCCCTCTGTTGGGTATCGTGATGGCAACTAGTCTTAGGGACTAGGTAAGCCTAACATTTACTGAATAACAACAATAATAAATAACATCTAACAACTTTTGAAATAGAAATCTCTATAAAATTTATAATTTCCAAAAACGGTAGTACAAGTCATAAGCTCTATAGAGTTTGCTATAATTCTTCTAAATACAACTGTTTGAAATAAAGTAATAGTATGAATACAAATCAGAAGGTGACTCCGAAGCCTGCAAATGCAGCAGCAGGTTTACCTTGAGTCGCCGTCATCGGGGCCGAGGATGTTACGTCTCTCCCTGAGGCCGTGCTGGATTTTGAGGGGCCGTCGATGAGAGTCCCTTACACCTTACGGCAGGATGAGCCATCGGCATCGCTACCAGCCAAGGGCCCTTCTTCACGGGTTGACACAAAGGGGAAAAGCGTAGCCGAAGAAGGTTACGAGATGGGCTCCGATATGGATGCTGAGGAGGTAAGGATGATGGGGGAAGGGCTTACCCGACTTGAGGTGAGATTGGAGGAGACCGTGCGGACCATTGCGATCCCTTTAGACCGGGATTTGCTGGTGGATACCGAGGACGTGGTTCGTTCTCTTGGTCCCCTCTGTTCCGATGTGGAGGGTAAAATACTTGAGAAGCGAAAGGATGCTACTTTGTCGAGGAGTATAGCCGGCCTCGCTCTTAAGGTAAGCCTTTTGATTTTTTCTCTGTTCTTTTTTCTTATTGAGCTCAGCTTCATTCTTATTCCTCAATTTTGTCTTTCTTTCAAACCGTGATTTTGGAGATTAAGAGCCCTTGGCGGGAGGAGAGGCGTAAGGCCATTTTTCAGAAGATGGAGCAGAAGTATCGCGAATACCGTGATAAACACCGCGAGCTTTGCAGGCAGCTTGGTAGGAGTAGCAATGTCTGGTCTCTTCGAGACGAACTGAAGGAGAAAGATGACGAGTTAGTGAGGGTCATCAGAAAATGTAGCGAACTCAAGGGGGCATTGAGGGACAAAGAAGAAGAACTCAAGGTGAGCAAGGGGGGTGAGGCTCAATGCGCCGATCTTCAAGCCCAGGTGGTTTCATTGCACGCCGAGCTCGAGGAGTGTCAACTCAAAGTATACGCTATGAGTGGCGAGGTTGCTGATAAGGCGGTGGGCTTAGAGAAGGCGAAGTTGGCTCAGTTGTCGATTGCGAGAAAGGCGAAGCCTTTCATAATCACAATCTGCATTCTTCGTTTTGAGCTAGAGAGTGCTTTGGAGATGGCCAGGTCAGGGAGAAGCGACTTGATGAGCGGATATGGGAGCTGGAGAAAGAGGCTTTGAGCCTTAGTGATCAAGTTGTAGTTCTCGAGGCCGAGAACGTGCGGTTATTGGGTCAGTCGTCCTCGTCCCGCACTTCTGTCTTTCTCGATATTCCGTGAGATTTGTACGAGGAATGGATTCATGCCGAGGCCCAGCTGGATATATTCAGGAATTTGATAGGGACGGAGGTTGTTTCAGAAGTCGCCTTCGAGGACGCTCGTGCTAAGGCATGAAAAGCTCGGTTTTCTTGTGGCTATGATCCCGCTACATCGGAAGTTGGCGACAACGAGAAGGGTGAGAGAGTGGATCGGATCGAACAGGAAGTATGGTATGAGGATGAATATACCGCTGGCGATGGCGAGGAGAAAGGTGGAGTCGGTCTGGGCAATCAAGCTAGTGGCGCTGCTGGGCCAGGCGGTGATTAGTTATTCTTTTTGTGTTAGCCTCAGACTTGTGCTTGCTTTTTGTAGGCGTACAGCCTTTGTAAAAATTATTCTAAGTATGAAGTGTTAGTTTTATTATTCGTACCCGATTCCTTTTCTTTGTTCGGATTTGTGCTCTTTTCTGATTTTGTTTCTTAATTGACTTTGTCGTAACAAATTTGTTTGAATAGGCTGAACGGCGTTGAAAGTAGCTTTCATTTAGTTAAGGTCGTGGGCCGATTACGTGTTAATTCGAATGAGGTCGAATATAACATGATTAATTGAGGCTGTGGGCCGAGTAGGTGCTAATTCGAACGAGATCGAGTATAACCTTTAATTAATTGAGGCCGTGGGCCGTGTAGGTGCTAATACGAATGAGGTCGAATATAACTTTTAATTAATTGAGGCCGTGGGCCGAGTAGGTGCTAATTCGAACGAGGTCGAATGTAACCTTTAATTAGTTGAGGCCGTGGGCCGAGTAGGTGCTAGTTCGAACGAGGTCGAATATAACTTTTAATTAATTGAGGCCGTGGGCCGAGTAGGTGCTAATTCGAACGAGGTCGAATGTAACCTTTAATTAGTTGAGGCCGTGGGCCGAGTAGGTGCTAATTCGAACGAGGTCGAATGTAACCTTTAATTAATTGAGGCTATGGTCTGAATAGGTGCTAATTCGAATGAGGTCGAATGTAACCTTTGCTAGGGGAGAGCAGAAATAAACTTCATGTACTTATGCTTTATTCATATTCTTGGAGAGATTTACATATTTTTCGGGCGCTGGCTGGTAGTTCAGTCCCAACCCCGATCTATCTAGTCCTTTCATTGGTCGAGCTGGAAAAATAGTGAGAGATCGAGCAATGAACTGGTCGTCCAGTATCTGTCAGTGCGCACTTCAATCATGAAGTATCCCCGTCATCGCCTCGTTAAAAACCTCCTCTAGAAAACCCAATTGGGACAAAACTCGAGTGAGGGAAAAAGAGTGCGACTTTGGGGACCTCGTCCTTTAAAAGTTGAAGTACTTGAGGTGTGTAATATTCCAGTTGTTTGGTAGTCACTTTCCTTCCATTGTTTCTAGTGTAAATAACCTTTTGTTTGTTGCTGCCGTGATTTTGTAGGGACCGTCCCAGTTTGTTCCTAGTTTGCCTTCCCATGGGTCTTTGCTTGCTTGTGTTTTAGCTTTAAGCACGTAGTCCCCGACTTTAAGTGGCCTGATCTTTTCCCTCTTGTTATAGTAGCATTCTGCTTATTGCTTTTGGGCGACCATTCTTACGTAGGCCATATCTCTTCGTTCCCTAACTTCGTCGAGTTCCTGCTTTCTACTGTCATCGTTCTGGGGTCCGCTTTCGCGGAAGTATCTTAGACTAGGCTCCCCGACTGGTTTTACTACATCAGTACCATAGACTAACGAGTATGGCATTTCCCATGTGCTCATTTTTGTCATTATTCAGTAGGCCTAGAGTACTTCTGGTAATATCTTAGACCACATTCCCTTGGCATCTTCGAGCTTCTTCTTCATGATGTTCAGTATTGACTTGTTGGAGGACTCCGCTTGCCCGTTACCCACGGGGTGGTAAGGCGTTGACAGTATTCTTTTAATGTGCCATTTTTCAAAAGAGTCGGCGACTTTCTTTCCTGCAAATTGAGGTCCGATGTCGCAGCTAATTTCTTTGGGGAGACCGAAACGGCATATGATGTTTTTCCATATGAAGGCTATTACTTCTTGTTCTCGTATTTGGGCGAATGCTCCTGCTTCCAACCATTTAGAGAAATAATCGGTTAAAACCAAGAGAAATCGTACGTTACTTCGTCCGGCCGGGAGGGGACCCATGATATCCATTCCTCATTTGATGAATGGCCAAGGAAAAGTTACTAAATATAGGTGTTCGTCTGCTTGGTGGATCATTGGGGTGTACTTATCGCATTGCTCACATGTTTTCACGAAATCTGTAGCCTCCTTCTTCATGGTGGGCCAGTAGTATCCTGCTCGTATGAGGCACCTGACCAAAGCTCGATTGTCGGAGTGAGATTCACAGTGGCCTTCGTGCACTTCTTTAAGGACGCGTCGTGTCTGATTTGGCCCAAGCATTTCGCTAGGGGGCGCCATATGTCCTTTTGTACAGGTCATTGTGAATGGTGGTGTAACTGGCTGCTTGCATTCGCAGCTTCTTGGACTCTTTTTTATTATTTGGGAGTATGTCGTCCTGCAAAAATGTAATAATACGGTTGCGCCCGTCCCAAGTTAGGTTTATGGTTCTTACCTCAATTTGGTCTATCGACGAGTTGAGGAGGTGGATCACATTTTGGTCTCCGATTGTGATGTTTTTCGTGGATGATGCTAATTTGGCGAGGCAGTCCACCTCGATATTCTGTGCTCGGGGAATCTGGTCGAGCTGACAATCCTCGATCTCGGGTAGTAGTTTGCAGATTTCGGTCTAGTATTTTTGTAACATTTGATCCTTAACTTGGAAAGTCCCTATGACATGGTTGACCACGAGATGAGAATCGCAGCGCAGCCTTAGCTTCTTTGCCTCGTATTTGAGTGCCAGTCTTAGTCCTGCAATTACGACCTCATACTCGACCTCGTTGTTAGTCATGTATGGGCACCTTGTGGACTGGTGAATCACTACGCCTGTTGGGACTTTGAGTATGAGTCCCAGCCCGAACCCCGAGGCATTAGATGCACCGTTAGTGTATAGGACCCATAGGTTATGTATTTGAGAAGAAGCGTGGACAGCTTCCTTTTCGACTTAGGGCAGTATGTATGCACTGAAGTCGGCGACGAAATCGGCGAGGACTTTAGACTTTATCGCCGTTCGCGGTCGATATGTAATATCGTGCTCGCTTAGTTCGATGGGCCATTTAGCCAATCTGCCCGAAAGTTCGAGTTTGTGTAAAATGTTTATTAAGGGGAAAGTCGTGACGACCGAGATGGAGTGGCATTGGAAATACGGTCTAAGCTTCCGTGAAACTACGACTAAGGCCAGAGCCAGTTTTTCAAGATGGGGGTACCTCGTCTCGGCGTCGACTAGTGTATTGCTAATATAATAGATTGGAGATTGCATACCTTTATTTTCTTGGACTAAGACTGCGCTTATAGATACTTCGGACACAGCGAGATAGACGAGGATGGGCTGTCCTGGTTCCGGTTTTGAGAGAAATGGTGGCGAGGACAGGTATATCTTTAACTCCTTCAGTGCATGGATGCACTCAGGGGTCCATTGGAGGCTGTTCTCTTTTCTGAGATGCCGAAGAACTTGTGGCACCTATCGAAGGATCGCGAGATAAACCTTGATAGAGCGGCGATACGCTCGGTCAGTTTTTGGACTTGCTTTTTGGCGGTCAAGTGCTCTGGTATACCCTCGATGTGATTTGGTCGGGATTGACCTTGAAACCCAGTTGCGACAATAAGAAACCCAAGAATTTCCCTGAGGCCATACCGAATGCACATTTCTCGGGGTTCAGTTTCCTGCCGTATTGCCTGAGTATGCCGAAGGCTTCTCTTAAATGGTCGATGTGATCTTCTTTCTTTTTGGATTTGACCAGCATGTCGTCGATGTATACCTCCATTATTTTTCTGAGTTGTTCTTTGAACATCTTCGTCACCAGCCTATGGTAAGTTGCCCCCGCATTTTTCAATCCGAAAGGCATGACCCTGTAGAAGTACGTCCCCTGGTGGGTGATGAAGGTGGTCTTTTCCTGGTCTGGTTGTAGCCCGAGTAGGTATCCAAGAAACTTAGCAACTCATTCCCGGTTGTCGCATCGATGAGCTGGTCGATATGAAGTAGTGGAAATGAATCCTTGGGGCAAGCTTTGTTCAGGTCGGTGAAATCTACGCACATCTGCCGCTTGCCGTTCTTCTTTTTCACCATGACCTCGTTGGCGACCCATTGGGCATACTTCGACTCTCTGACGGAGCCATGTTCCAATAACCTTTCCACTTCTTCGCGCACTGCATCATTGATTACGAAATTGAACTTACGTCGAACCTGCCTTGCCGCGGGGTGGAGTGGATCAACGTTCAATTTGTGTGTGTTGATCTCCTTTGGGATACCTGGCATATTTGCATGGCTAAAAGTAAACAAGTTCGCGTTAGTAATTAGAAATTTGCAAAACGTACCCGATTCTTGGAGTTTGCAGCCGATGCAAGCTTTCTTGCTGTGGTCGTTGACGTTTAGCTGAACGGGGTCGAGGTCTTACCGACCTCGACCCTGTTGATTGCTATGCTTACTTCTATTTATCTCTTATTTGTTGGGTGGCCGTGCAGTCTAGGGCGATGCAATAGCACTCTTGGGATGTGCGTTGTTCCCCGCGTATGATGAATATGTTCCATGGAGTTGGGAATTTGATGACTTGGTACAAGTTGGAGGGTATGGCTCTCATGGAGTGTATCCATGGTCGCCCTATTATGGCGTTGTATGTCGTGTCCTGGTCCATGGTGTGAAATGTGGTCTCCAGAGTGACACCACCCGCCAGGACGGGGAGTGTGATCTCTATACTATTGAAGTCTGTTAGTGTGATGCAGAGTGGTACTATCTTGTCCTCGAGTTTCATTTGTGTGAGTAATCGGGGATGGATAATACACGCGCCGCTCCCGTCATCTACCATAATTTATCTTACGTCGGTATCTAAATTTCGTAAAGTAATAACAAGATCGTCATACTGAGGGAATGCCAAACCGTTGGTATTTGACTTATCGAAGATGATACTTTCTTCAAGTTCACCATACCGTTCGTGGGTGATCGACCGTTTGATCTTGTGGGTCGTGGTGAACTTCACGCTGTTGATGGAAGCATCGTCTCTATCGCCGATGATCATGTGGATGGTGCGGGTTGGCGATGGCGGCTTCGGCGGCCCTTGGTGTTGTTTGCGTCCCCTGGCAAAGTTAGTCCTTCCCCAATCGCTTAGTAATTCTTTGAGGTGTCCCTGTCGCAGCATGTTTACGACCTCATGTCTTAGGGCAATACAATCTTCAATTTTGTGTCCTCGCTCTTGATGGAACTCGCAGAGGGTGTCTGATTTTCTGGTCCGACCTCATCCTTTGTGGCCACTTTACCTTTGGTCTGAGCTTCTCCAAGGTGTAGACGATCTCTGTAGGTGACACGCAAATATTGTGAACGGATAGTAAAGGGGGCATACCTCTCTCATTCCGGTGAGTCCCTGTTATTGATCGGGGTGGGCCCTCCTTATGGCGAGATGAGGATACAACGGTAGTTCTGATATATGGGAGGTGTCATTCCCGGTTTGGTCGTGGGGCCACTGGATCTCTTCTGATATCACTTTTCCGATCTTTTCTGGAATCTGCTTGTACTGAGGTCAGTCAATGAGTTAGCCCATTGAGGTCGTCTTCGTCTGCTCGGACTTCGGCAAAGTACACATTATGTATTTCGTCCCAAGTTGTTGGGGGATATTTTATAAGCCGACTTAATAATTTTCCTGTCGCCCTTGAACCATTTCTATTCAGCCCGTTTTGAAAAGCAGTTACCGCCATTCCTTCTGATACATTTAGAAAAGTCATTCTTACTCGGTTAAAATGGGCGAGAAAGTCCCTCAGTCATTCTCCCCGGGACTACTTGATAGCAAAGATGTCATTCACTCTTGCCTCGGCCTTCTTGGCCCCAGCATGGGCCGTCACAAAGTTATCGGCCATTTCCTCATAGGTTTCGATGGAACGTGCCTACAATTGTGAGTACCAGGTTAATGCACATCCCGTGAGGGTTTCGCCGAATTTCTTTAGCAAAATGAAAGATACTTGTTCTTTGGCGAGGTCATTACCTTTCACAGCGGTGACGTAATAGGTCACATGATCCTCGGGTTCAGTTGTGCCATCATATATTTTCAGATAAGGCGGCATTTTAAAGGTCTTTGGTATGGAATGTGGGACAACGCTATCACTGTACGTTTGCTCGACGAACCGACTGGCGTCTCTCTTCGGCAATAACTTCGGAGCTCCCGGTATTTTATCGACCCTTTCTTGGTGGCTCTCATTTGATCCCGAAGTGTCTTATTCTCGTTTTCCATTTTCTCCATCCTTTTCAGAATGGTTGTGAGAGCGTCGTCGCCTACATTGTTAACAACACTGTGAGTAACACCTATCGTCGTGGGTGGAGAAGGAGGCTGATCATGTTGCTCGTCCACTGGTAGTACGGCACATGTACTCGCCTTTACTGCGGCCACGTCCCGAATGGGTTTATGGAGGACGATGGTCAGTGTATCAGTCAGCCAGGCCTCAAGGAGTTTCTTTATCGCTGGCGGTGTCTCCTCTCCCATGGATGTGGAGGCTGTCTTGCCAAGGGATTTTGTGATGCTGCAGTGGGGAAGGGGTGATCCACCTCACCTAGGGGGGAGGCGTTGGGCGTTGTGTCCTCATCCACTGATTCAGAGTCACTCATTATTCTTGTTCTTTCTTCTCTGTTACCTGCCATGTTAGATCTATGCATACAAAGAGAAGAAGGTTTTTTTTTTTTTTTTTTTTTTTTTTTTTTTTTTTTTTTTGCGTCAGTAATCAGTGTCGGTTGTAGATCTAGAATAAACTAAAAGACTTAGCTAGAAAGTCCCCACAGACGGTGCCAAATTGTTTGACCAAAAAATATAATCTCCGGTTAAACTATTAGATTACCTTGGTACGGGGCTAAATCTAACTAAGGATAATAACTCTAGATATTAGCACAAAAACGTATAGTAGATGGGACAGATTCCGTATATGGTTTGTGATAATAAATGTAAAATAATCTTAAAGCAAGAACATTAATGGTGATATAACTAACAATAAATGTCAATAAATGGCATTTAAGAAAATAAAGGGAATGATTCACCCAATAATGGATGGGTGGGACGAATATTTTGCCCGACAATGATGAATGACAGATAGATCCAAGATTCGCACGAACAATCATCGGATGTGATGCAAAGGTCGGGAATAATATATGAACAAGAATACTCGTAAAAATGTAATCTTTGTGTCTTTGCGAGAGAGAGTCTTCTTCTCAAAAGTGTTCTTATCAGAATGAATATTACATGCCCCTATTGTTGTCTCCTCTCTCTATATATATGAGGCCTTTTTCCTAGGAAACCCTAATAGTATAAATGCAGAGAATATCCACTAGAATATTCTCTTATAGTACTCTATCTTGACAAATTAGTCGTTTCAAGTCTTATCATTAATAGTCAATCTCGACCTAGACCCTTGTAAACATCTTGACTGCGATCTCTATCGATATCTTGACCACGGCTCATGTCGGCACCTCGGCCATTGACCTCGCAGCGTCTTGGGCGAACTCGACCGATAACTTTCTTTAATGCCATATTACACTAAATATTCTGAAGACAGATTTTGACCTATACCACCACCACAAGCGATCTTGTAGAATTTGGACATCTTTAATCCCTACTTTAAGATGGATTTGGAAGGAACTTTAGGGATATAGTTGAATCTATTATTTCTGGCTCAAATCATATGCATGTATTTAATAAATTATATATACATGTAATAATATCGTAGTCATTCTAAACCTACTAACTCTAAATTCGTTTCAACTTTTAATTGCAACTTAGTTCAATAAAATAGCTTCATTATTATATAATCTTACTTTCTTTCTTGAGGCAAGACAATGAAGTGGGGTAAAAAAAAAAGACATTCTTTATAAAACAAAGCAACTTCAACAATGGGTGGATACAAATTCGAGAATAACATTTTAGACAACCAAATTAGTTTACATTATCAATAGGAATTTATTATAGACAATCTTCATGGTTAGAGAACCAATTAATGTCTCCGTAAGTACGCTTTCCTGCAGCAGAGGGAACATCTTCTATAACTTTCTCTTGACCCTTTGGGTAAAATATTCCAGTCCGATCATCAGGTACCCACCAATTATCATCATTATGATTTTTCATGACAGTACCTTTGCTCTTCACTTCCTCCGCATTAAGTTTAACCGTATCACTAATAATGTCTGGAGAAGTGCTTTTTCTGTGATAGGCTTTGCGTAGGATAGGCCTGCATGTATTGAACACAGAAAGAATGGTCTATATATTAATTTTTATACTTAAAGATTGTCATACGTAGTGAACTTCAAAATAATAATTCAGGAACTTGATTAGCTGATTATCTTCATTTTCCTGTTGATAAAGAAAACTGTTGCAGTATTAGTCAAATCAAATATCTCATATGCTTTTGAAATGTTTCTTAGTTTTACCGACGACACGAGTTCAGAATTTTAACCTGATAGGTTCAACCTTATAATTCTTAGCGGTGATGATGTACTCACCATTATTTTGAAATAATATGAGTTCAAAGTCTAATATTTATCCAAATTTTTGTTGAATATAATCTTAGTAACTCAATTGATTGGCTACCGAACTTTCACCTTGTTTATGAGGGTTCAATTTCTAACCTTGTAGTTCCCTCCCCCATTTTCCCTTCCCTTACTCCTTACATAATAAAAAATTTAAACAAATCAATATTTATCGAAATTTTATTATGTTTCGTATATATATAACATATACGTTATGTGTCATAAATACTGGGTCAAGTTGAACCCGTACCACTAAGGCTACTTCCGATCTGAATATCGGTGTTACCTCTACAAATAGTAGCTGAATCATTTCAGTATTTCTTTTCTTTTTATGGCAAAAGTGTAATGTTGTGGGTGAAACACTAATTGCTTTAAATTCTAGAGAAGGTGCTACATACTAAACTTTAGCAATCATAGAGTTAGATAATTAAAGATAAGAAGCAAGTCAGAGTGAGTGAGTGATAGGGCCTTTAAATTCTATTGCCATCTTTAATTTTCAATCTGAAAAGAGAGTGAGATGTTTGCATCAAATTGGTTTTGATGGGTTGGACAGAATATATTTGGTTTCACATTATATCGTGATCAAGTACACCCGCTGTATCACTTATTTGAAGACTTGCATATGTGATATTGTTATTATGATCATACACTAAAACAGGCTAGGCAGGTGTATCTACATCAACGACCAAATGGAACAATCTCATATATTTCTCTTTCTTTGTCTAAACTATAACATGCATTTCCAAGAATTGCATTTTGATCATACGGAGAAAGTACGTTAATATGTCTATGCCTTAAAAAAGAAAAAGAAAGACAGAAGAATACGATGGAGTAAATTTTACTTCAAATTTTGATAACCTTACTTGAAATACATAGAGTTCATGGACTGTGCTCCTCTACCAGCTGCTGCAGTTGCCATATTGTGATCACTTCTTCCTTGGCTAATTTGCTGTGATTTGAGGTGGTGTTGTGACAGCTAGCCCAAGGCTTTCTATTTTTATAGTACTTGTAAAATATAATAAGGGTGGTTGGTTATGGACAATTTAGCTTCCCAAGAAAGAGGGTAAGGATTGTTTTATAAAATTTGTCAGCTTCTGGATCCTACCATAGAAGAATGAAGGACCATATTATGTCATAACGAGATAATGTTAGTTCCACAGGATATGGAAGCTTACTTCCACTACTAGATAACATTAACTTGAAGGCCATGCAACTATATCCTTTTTCTTTATTTCCCAAGCTAGCGGAACCAATGTCCCCTCCTATTTACTGGATTTCTAATTAAAAATATACATACTTAATAATTTTGTAATATAAATATAAAATCTAAACAGAAACTACTGATTTCGTTTGAATCTGTACATATTATTTTAGTTTCGACTCATTTAGAAGTATTGTATTCAATTTTTTGTTTTTGGCGCACATAGTTAATAAAGTAGTAATGTCTAGTCATTGAAATTTAAATTTGCGAAGTTACCATAACTGTGACCTCTTGATTATTAGATATTATTCCCTTGTTGAATGGGGCATAATATATACCATCTGTTTATCCTATATACAGTTGCTTAATCGGCTAAAATTAACTTAAGCGGTATGAAGTCAAATTAGGTAGTTTGATTAGTTACGCTTATGCCATGGCCGTAGTGGATTCAAAAAGATACACACTTGAAATTTTAGCTTGTGACCTAAAGCAAATCTTGAATTATTTTGCCATTTTATTAATTTCTTTATGCTAAGAAAATCAAAATAATAACCTCCTGGCCACTTAAACTTGTACCGGATTGTATCGGATTGTTAACCCGATAAATGAACTTATGAGTTTCCCATTTAGCACCTCTACTTTACGTAATAAGGACTAATAAATACCTATGACGGTTGACCATGCATACGTGGAGGAAACATTGCTGACACGGTGAAACTGCGTGCAAATCACATGGCGCATGAATGTAATAGTTTTAATAGAAAAAAATAATATTAAAATAAATAAAAATGTATAATAAATAACAAAAGATAAAAAAAGAATAAAAAGGCATCCCTTTCCCCATTCTTCCTCCCACCTCCTTCGTTCCCACCCCGTTTCCCCCGTTCTTTCGTTTCGTCTCCCATCCCTCTCCCCAGCCTTTCCTCCCCAGCCCCTCTTCATTCTTTTCGATTGAAAATCAATTAGAATTTTTTTTAATTGAGTATGAGGATCTAGAGAGAAGGTAATCCACAATCGAATTTTGGCAGAACAAAATCACATCAATTTCTCTGATCTGGTCATTACTCCGATAGTGATGAAGTTCTGGCGAAAAAGAAGACTCTTCTTCACATTAAGTATTTGGAGTATTTATATTTTTAGAGTTTATTCTTCACATCAGACGGTTTATGGATGAAGCTTTCCCATATGGTCAATGCTCCTCTCTTTTTCTTTTTTAAGAAAAAAATTAGCGGCAGGGGTGAAATGCCATTTCTAATTTGTTTGCTCTATGCAAATGGGCTTGATGGGAAGGAAGTTTCGACGGAGATGGTGATTGAAGTGCTTGAAATCAAATGGAATAAGGTGTTTGCGTGGAGATGGTGATTAGAAATTAACATAATGAGTAGGCAAACACAGAGAGGGAACTATTCATCGATGGCCAAAGACATTGCCAGTGAATTCTCCAGCCAAATTGAATTTTTTGCTAATTTATGAGTTTTTTGCTGGTCTCAGTTGTAACGGAGGAGAAGAGAAATAAAAACATTAAGTTAAAAGTTTGATAAACTGGAAATTAAGAATTAAAAAAGTGAGACCTATAAATTACACATGTCAAATTCTAAAAGATTAAGTATATGACATGTCATTTTTGTCTAGTGATTGAAGAACACGCTCAGACGGATATGTTTTTAGTCCTTATTCTTTAAATTGAGGTGCTAAATTGGGAAAATCCTAAGTTCGTATGGTTCCATTTTGCCTTCTATTAATTACATAGTATAATTTTTCAAATAAAATAATTCAATTGAATCTTTTCCTCAACCTTGCCCAGTCGCAATGGGTCCAAATAGCTAGTCTTTCAAATTATTTGGTAGTTTGGTTAATAAGGCTTTTTGTTACATGCCTACATGGAATTAACACGCTAGAGCTGTCGATGTCAAACATTAGGAGCCATATTAATCTACGGACTAAATATTTCTCTAATAACCTATAGTAATATTTGGGCTACTAACGCTAACTCTTTCTGCTCATCAGATGACTAACTAAACCACACATCGAATTGGCCAACACGATACTTTGTCTTTTGGAGACTAAATCGAGACCTAACCTAATAATACACCTTATTTCGTGTAGTCTCCTCTCTCTCTTTTTCTATCTCGATAATGTATTTAGTGTAATCTCCTTGGACATAGGCACATTTTAGTGTAGTCTCTTTTCGGATCAATTGAATTTCGATTATCAAATGCTTAAAGAAAAAATTACGTGCAATATAGAAAGTGATAATACTAAGAAGTTGGAGTGTAACCCAAAATAAAATGAACATTTGTCTCCATTATTGACCCCCACCACCCCCCCTATGAAAAAAAAAGACTTGCCTCCAACATAAATTAATAACATCAACGGACAAGATTGAATGCAACTTTAAGAAAACAGGATTTCAATTTCCAAGTCTAGTCATGAATGTTCAGTCCAAGTTGTAATCCAAAGAACATTGAAACTGATAATAATGTAAAAGAATTTTTAAAGATAAAATTGCTTTCATTAGCGGAAACTAGAATTTTGGCCAAATAGAAGTATTTAAATTTTAGTATATCTCCATGTCCCTATCGTCAACAAACGTGTGGACCCGAAGATCATTGGATAAAAAGAAAAAGGTCCAAAAAACATATGCTTCAGCTCGGGCGTATTGGATAAAATATGTTATGATATGTGACCGTCCGAGAAAGGGATACGTGGAGCGTAAGACGGGGATGACTGAAGACCGGAGACAATTATTTTATTTGTCGCCGGGAAGAATAATGCTTATAAAGATGTGATAAATGCTCTTCTCTCGGTAGCATTCAACAGAGAATATTCATAGCATCAAGAGGAGTTATCCGTTACAAGGAATTTGATATTTATATTCACCGTTACATCTTCATAAATGTCCCTCAGAAGGGTACGACCCTAGGACCTTCTTCATAGCTATAAATAGTGAACTCAGTTGTCATTGTATGGGGGAGGAATTTTCTCGCAAACTTACACTATATTTTATACAAAGTTCAATCCAATCTTATCTTCTAATTTCTCGATTTTTTTGTTGTGCCCGAAAACCTTATCCCCGGAATTATTGCTTTTGCTGTTTCGTTTATATCTTACGGTTAAGTACTATTGCGTAACTCTTCAATTATTTATTTATTTCAGGATTAAATTAATTCACTTATCTAGAAATCATATATATATTCAACTGTATCGTTTTACGGGTAAGCACCGGCAAATACTTATTATGGGACTGAATCATCAAAAATAGTCTCTTTATATACTGAACCACCGTAATTTTCTATTTTGATTTAAACTTTAAAGTCGCCTTTCATTTAGCCCAAAAACAAATTTGAAAATTATTGAATGATTGGGTGTCTGGATGATATAAGCATTAGCTTCTTCCAAGAACTTTGCATATCCTCTAAATTATTATTATAAAAATAAAGATTAAAGAGTTTTTTGGATATGGCATCCACAACAGCAGAACTGAATATCCATTTTGAGGCTTGGTTGTGCAATAATTCTCTTATCCATCTAACTGCGCTGTAGTCCTTATCCTCTCCCACCACACATTATCCCCTTCCATTTTTACTACTTCTAAAACAATTCCGCACAGAAAATGATCAAAGATTTTTACTGTAATCTGGAGACATGGTAAAAACCATTTCTCCATTTCCATTTAAGAGCTCACAGGCCTTATCTTCGATTCATCTAGAGTGAAAAAATGACAGCCACTCAAAATTCATTTTTCCGATGTCCCTCTAAACCACCCTCCCAACTCCCCTCCAACACTGGACTAATTTAATTGTGAGTTGCAATGGTTAAAAAATTACACTTGTTCCTCATTGGTTGTGTCTTAAAATTTTGGATTGAATGCTTTAAATTGCAGATATCACCCCCAAGATTTGCTTTATTAGCTTCCGCATAACGCCTTATTATTTTCGATCCCAACAGATTGAAGGTCAAGGAGGAACCATGATTGATAGATATTTACACAAGATAAGTCCAGTTTCTTCTCAAGTCCCGTTGCGAGGGCCTATTAGAGGAACATACTCAGAGTAATCCCAAACAGTGGCGTCCGGAGAAGTTGGCCTACTAGAGGGCCATATGAATAGTTCATATTCTCTCAATTAAGTTCGGCTGAATTGATAGGCAGGACAATTGTTTCGTCTCTTTCCATCTTCATGTTAATGAAGCTGATAGCTCAAATTGCAGGGATGATGAGCGATAACTGATAATTTTCTCTTTCCAGTTTCCTCTTCTGGAAACGTATATCATTGACGTATAGATGGTAGCAAATTTACAATGTTACTGCAGTATACATTGAAACTATGATTCCAAATTTCAAGCATATTTTCTCTGTGTACACCTTGGAATGGATCAATGCTAAAAAAACTAGCAAGTTTCGTTCATGATAATTGAAAGTGCTTGGTTAACCCTATTGACAAAGAACTTATTCGGCATTTTGTATTAAAAACTTGCATCCTCTGTTGTTGGCCTCCTCAAGAAATAACGCAGGCTATTTGCAAGAACCTGCAACGGTTTAAGATTGAAATTTGTCAAATAATTGTCTTCAAACTACCAAAGTCTAATAACTCAAGTTGCATATTGGTTCCACCGTAGCGCCCGTTACCTGTTGAAGGGGCTTGATCAGAGCTTTGCCCTTGTAGCTGACATGAAATTTTGCCTTAGCTAGCAATCCCTGCACCAAGATAAAGTTTTGACTCATTGCTAAGCTACTGCTGCTGCTACTTATTAGTTGGCACAACTACCACCTAAACAGTTTATTAGTAAATGATTTGGAAAAACTCCTGTA